GTTAAATCTCCAAGCTTCTTCAATGAAAACAAAGGCAACTAGAGGGGAGCACACAGCAAATCATGGGGTTTGTGTGGAACACCCTGAAATTCCATTGCAGAGGTGCAGGATGATGGGACTTTTCTTCCCTGTTACCATCTCCTCACACACATCCCCTTTTCCACGCTGAAGCAAGGCAAACCAAGCTACATCAGCTCCTTGCATGACCCTGACCAGTGTGCCCTGTCTCTCATGCTTACATGGGATTCATTTTGGCAGTAAAAACAGACTTTGCTACAAAGGCTGGCAAGGTTCATCTCACRTGCCAGCCTTGCCAGAAGGAGCCATCAACACCCCACAAATCCCCTGAAGCTGGCACAGGGGACCAAACATCTGATAAGTGTGATTGTCCCCTTGAATACAGCACATAAGCTGTATTTAAGTCCAGGCTGTCAGCCCTGCTCCTTGCTTGAGCTTTGCTGCAGCTGTGCTGGCAGTCAGTGGCAGAGTGATCCTGTCCCTGGGCTTCCAGCTCCTCAGATCCACCTTGTCACTGCAGATTGCTCTAGTGATCAGGACTCTCTGATCATTCTGGCCACTGTCACCAGGCTCTCCCTACTCACAGCCAGTGGTTCATTTCTACCAGTGGTGCCTTATATTAAATCTTGCTTGGGATGTGACCATTGTGGGAGTCTGTCCAGAGTGGGCATCCTGGCAACCTCTGCYTAKGGCACTCCCARAAAAYTGGGGGCARGCTTGTAGGTRCTCCACATATTAGCGTWCCCMTCAGCCTRCCCTSCTCTACAGCYCATCCTTTGGAAGAGACACAAGGTRCTGTTTAACTGGTTGCAGAGTACAGAAACTGGTGGTGCTGTCTCTCATAAGCCTGCTCTACTCTGCTTTTGAAAGACGCCTTAAAATCATTGAATTTCAAGATACAATGTAAATCTTGTAGTTTCGTTTCCTTTTCTCAGTGGAAGCAAAGCAYAGTTCAGGGGGAGGGTGGGACAAGTTAGCATTACTGGTTTTCTTCGAGTTTGTAATTGCCCATCCTTCATATACGAAAGAAAATACCTTTGTTGGATTGATGAGTAATCCTTTCCTGAAACAAGCCAGTCTCTTATGATTTTTCCCTTCCTAATTTATTACTAAAATAAAGCATCACTTGCTTGTAATGAAGCAGCAGCTCCAGACCTCTRGCAATCTGCAGGAGAAACACCAAACACGTTGCAGCTATTCTGGCACAGTGGCCAGGTCTGAGAAGAGTATTCATGTAGTACAGCACTGCTGTACTACAACATGTGTTACAAATGCTGTCACAGATGGGGCACATGATTTCATTGTGCCAGCTCTGGTGAGGACCATTTCTCCATTAACTCCCACCTGGAAAAGAGGGAAAAGCAGCCAAGTGCAGATCCTGAAATAGCAGTGTTTGGTATTCCCTGGAGCACCACGCAAGGCTGTGGGGAGAAGAGGCTTGAACAGATCCAACCCATCTGTAACAGCACGGGATGTAGGGCAGCGTTGAACTTCCATGCTCACTTCCAAGGCTGCAGCAGCCTCTGGCAGGGCAGGACGTGCTGCTGGTCACAGGTTTAGCACACCAGTCAGATGGTGCTGCCTGGACAGTGTTAATCGCTGGGCTGATCTGAAATACAGCCTTGCACAGCCATCATCCTCACTGCCTGCACTCTGCACAGGAACTCAGTGGCTTCAAAGCCAMAGTCAAAGCAAATGTCACAACCATCTCCTCCTCAGAGATGGAAAAAGCCTGTCACAGTCATTACCATGACACAAGCACCTACCAGCAGCTTTGAACTGCTCATTCAAATGCCAAGTGACAGGCAGATGTTTYCAGTAGAAATACAGCTCTCTCAGAGCCTTTGCTTGCATCACCCACCAGCAYAGCATTGCCTCAGCCTTCTCTGGCCAGGGCTGTGACCTGCTGGAGTCACTTGAGCTCAGCTGGGCTCTGCACATGGCTCTGACCACGGGGCCCAGACAGACTGCGTGGCACTGCTGGAACTGGAGAGAGGTTTGCCTTTTGCCTGTCGTGAATGTCTTTGTTAGCAGGAAGCAGGAGAGTGAGACATAAGACATCTTACACCTTGACTGTTGTTTTCCCAGCAGCATTTGTGTAGTGGATTTCTAGAAGAAAATAAACAAACCACAAACCACAGCTGGGAATTCAAAACAGTAATGGGAAAATCTCTATAATGCCTTGATAATTAAGATAGACTATAAGCAATGTAATTTGAAATTTCATTGCTGAAGTATGCAGAAGGATTACAAACCCAGTCATATTGCAGGCTCTGGTGGAGAAACTCTATCCTTCTTGCAGATTGCTTCTTCATCTCCACATCACCTGGGCACAAGCACAGCAGATGTGAAGCAGCTGCAGTGGAGCTCAGTATGTAATATGGGCATGGGTGTAARAAACTCAGAGCTGACACGCCAGAGCAAGCTGGTTGCTTTGTTAACAGGTTGGGAAATGCTTCGCTGCTGCAAGATAATCAGGGTTTTAATGCGTTAGAAGTCCCTCCCAGTCAGCTGGCAGCAACCTGAGTCCTGTGAAGGAAGTTTGAGGGGATGTAGGGAAGAGTGGGCAGGTTGATCATGTAGAGAGCTTGAAGGTGGCAACAGTTTAGTTCAGATCACAAGAAACTGATCATTAAACCAGCAAAGCTGGCAGCACTACCTAATTTAAGAATATTTCAAGTTATCTTTAAAATGAARAACAGTGGCCAGCTGAGGTGAGTGGTTAAAAACCTATGGCAGTCCCACAGGGAGAACCATCTCTACAAACTGGCATCTCAGGGCTGATCTGTGCGTGTCTCTGCTTCTGTGTTTGGGGAGATTGAGATGTTTTTCTGATCCAAATTAGGCAGAGGGTTGACAAAAGTACCAGCATGTCCTTCCCCTTTTATCCAGCTGACTATTACTGCTGTGCCTCTGTCATACTTACTGAATTATGACAGCTACTAAAATGTTACTGCTGGGAATGAACTGGCACATACACATGCATGCAACATTAAATGTGAGCCTATTTCCCTTACAAATTCAAACCAAAATAACCCCTTATTTGGTAACTACTGCAGCCWGGGCAGCTCTTCTGCACTAGAGGAGGGGTTATGAGTGAGGGAAGAGGGAGAGAAAGGTAAGGCCTAGCAACAAATAGTTTAATGATTGCTTTTATAAGACTGAGTAAGATGAGGAACACAGAGAGCAAGTAAAATTGACATGCCTTCAAGATGCTGGGCTCCCCATATGTATGTAGCATCAGTCAGAGCCCACATGGATTTTTCCCAGTTTGCTGTGCAGAGAGATGCAAACCATTCATGGAGAGCTGCTCTCCCTTTTTGTCACTTGAGCTAATTTATCATTTCCATACACAAAATCCATTCTGTTCTAAAGGATGATCTCTTGTTGCTGCTGTTAGATAAAAGGCAAGGCCAGGCAGGTGCTGCAATCACAGCACTGAGGGAGCTGCCCATGAGCTCTGTTAGGGTGACCTGGCAGAGGCATCCTGTGGCCAAGGCTCCCTCACTCAGGGTCAATACAGCAGCCCAGGAAACACCCTCTCCCGTCTGATTTCAGGCCTCAGAGAACAGTCTGGCACAGGACTCCAAGATTTTGAAACTGCTGACTCCAAAAGCCTGCTCAAGACCTGGTTCAAAACCAACACAGGGCTGGAGCTGGCCAYGGGTGTGAGCTGGGATATTAAAGATCAGGCCTTGCTCTGGTACCATCCATCACACMTTGCAAGGCTGTCACTTTGCAAACACTTTCATGCTTTCGTATCTCCCAGGAACAACACAGCTGTGGGGCACAGCTGGTTTTCAGAGCTGTGAAAAAGCCTGAGGAATTAATGGGCAGGTTCATACCCAGGCTCTGAGTAGCTGTTTTGTCATAGTAACATCACAGAAAAGAAAGAATTAAAATGAATGGTGGTCAGAGTGGTTTGCATTAGATTCCTTTTGAACTAGGAACCAGGTGGAAACAAATAGTAAAAGTGAGTGGTCATCAGGGTATATACCTTTAAAACAAAACCTTCCTAGCATGCTCTGCTCCCTTTATATAGGGGCAACTCTAGGGTACTGCAGGCTTTAGTAACTTGGCCTTGGCTGTTCTATCACACAGTGAGTATTTATCTCTTTTTTTTTCCCCACACTGGTTTTCTTTAGTTTCTGTGAGGTATGTTGTACAGCTGCTCATAGTCAGGCTTTTGTTTAAGGAGATGTGACTCAAGTTGGCTTTTCAAATGCAAGAAACTTGTGCTGGATGTGGGGATGTAGCAAATTCACAGTTACTGCTCTTCCTAGAGTCTGTGAGCTGAATGTGTAGCTGAGGATGGGGTAGTTGTTGAATGGCCATGGTTTCATGGTGTGACCTCATTGCATAAAAGTACTGATTATCAATATGAGTGTAGCTCTAGTCTTTGAAATTCAGTAATTTTTATTAGTTTTGGATTACTTAATTTTGGGTACATTCTTCTAAGAAAAGTGGTGGACAAATGTTTGCAGGTGGTTCAAGGCATTAATGTTTTGTGGTCAGTTCTGATCTCAATGAGCTTGATCCCCAAGTGAAACTGTTTTATACACAGACATTGGGGCGAGTGCTTCAGGATATGGTAAATGATGTAACATGGAGGATCTAGTATCTCATGCACTAGTATTTCATGCTGCCTAAATGAACTCAAGCTTAAATGTTTACTTGATTTAAACATAGGGGTTGAAAATTGAACTAAAGGGGATAAAATCTTGTAAAATAAAGAGAAAGACAGTGCTTGCAKGAATTAAATGTTTCATTTCTTTTGCTACTTTTGAAATTTAAATATGAATTACAACAGTTGATCTTCAATGCCAATCTTCCTGTCTAGCTCACATAGTGACTTCATGACTTAGAATATATTAAAAAACCCCTTAGCATGTAAACTGCATAGTATTTATATAGAGTTTAGTATGTGATTAGACCATCAGAATTAGAAAATTACAATTGAAATGTTCTGTAACTAGACTCATTGAAATAGAACTGCAGTTAAAAAGTTAGCAGTGAAAACTCTTGACATTAAATCAAAGTCTGTAAAATGTGTTGCTATTTACAGGTAGGTGTGTGGAGGGGGAGAGAAAGGTGGAGAGGGAAAAAAATTAACCCTGTATTAAAATAACAAAAAAAAAAAAATCAAACAAAATCCAGACAGTCTCCAGGACTGAAAGCAGACAGTAACTGCCAGCTACATATAGATGACAAAGCAAATGAAAAATTGCGTGCCCCACTTGGAGGTACATCTTCATTTTTAAAGAAAAGTCACTTACAGAAGAGCAAGTTGGTGATTTGTCTTATATCCTGGACCTTTTTCAACCCTTGTCAGAAAATGATAAATTATTGAAGCATATTGTACGGTAGCAAGTCTATTTGTGTGTTCTGTCGTGGCTTCTGAAGTGCTTAATGTAGAAAGGTTAACTACTGACTGCAAAATAATTTAGAATTATTTCTTCATCTTAAAAAAGCAGTAAAATTAAAATTTTGCAGTCCACATTCTCTCCCTTTGATAAGTGAAATGTTACTATTCCCTGCTTGCATGAGCTACTGCTACTTGGGAAGAAGGTGACGATGTTATACTCACACCCTTGTCTTGTGTTAATCCATTCACAACTAGAAGTATTTTTGTTCCTGGAAGCACTRCAAACTGTCCAAAGAATAAAGCAAGGCTTCAGAGAGCTAATTCTAAAAAATTAGCTCAATAACCTCACCATGAGTTACATTACCCTAACTCATAACTTTGTCATGAAGAAGAAAACATTCTGAGTGGTTGTTAAGTGCAGGAACGCTCAGGTGAAGGAGTATCTGAATGTTCAAAGTTGGTTTGATTTTTTTTTTTTTCTTGGCTGACTGCATGTAAAAGGAGAAAATACATTTTATAAATTGGAGTAAGTATCCATGTAAAATTAAGCTGGATTTACTCCCTGTGCTTTGATTATCTGGAAGCATTGTTGCTCAGAGGTTCCCCCTCCCTAATGCAAACCCCATCCTCTAACACATTTGTTCTCCTTTATGGCCAGACATAGAAAATAGAGATGGTAACAGATTGGGGTGGGGGGGAATGGGAGACAGAGGGACCTGGCTGGAGAGGACACATGTGGCATGTTTACAAAAGCTTTCAGATTCCTAGTGTGTTTTCAGGATTAGCTTTAGGTATTAGTTAAAATTGCTTTTTACTGAAGCAGTGTATTGTGTCTGGTAGAGAAGCGCAAGAAAAAGGTCACCCCAAGCAGAGGAAGGGTGGGGGGTACACAGGCAGGAGGTGAAGTAGCTACTAGGCTGGACTGACATACCAACTGAGAGCTCTTCACCTCTGACTGACTTCCTCAGCTGGCACAGAGCTTTCTTTTCACCCTTAAGGCTTTTCTTCCATTTGATTCAATTCTTTCCCCACCCCTAACTGTTGAAGTGTCACTGTTACATCCCTTGATTCAATCCACACTTTAAGATTTTTTGGACAGCTGAACTTTTTACCCGATGACTCTTACTGGACTGGCATTTAAAGCTGACCCTGTGTTTTCCAAAAGGGACAGGACATTGTCACCAAACCATTAGCATTTCTCTTCCCAACATCAGTTAAACTATTGTTTTGCCATTAATACAAGGCTCTGATTTGCAAGCACTCCATGCCTGCTTACCTTCCAATAAGTATTTCTGTAACTGCTAGCATAATTAAATGAGCTGTTGCTTCAAATTAGTCTTGCAGCACTATTACATGCTTCTCTTTTATTTTTTTTTCTGTACAATGGAACAAAGCAATGCTTAGAAACAAAACCATTCAGGCAGTTTACACTTGTTTACATTTATTTAAAAAAAATATTTAAACACTTGTGTATTTCACCTGTGGATTTTGAACTATAAATCAAATAGGGCTCATCACTTCAAAGAGGTTTGCAAGTACAAAAAACAGCCTCCTTCTGGCATCTTCACATCCTCCTCTTCTGGGTGCTTATGTACAACACTGTGAAAGAGAGAAAGTGGCACAGAGAGGAGGGCCCTGGTAAATAATATGCAGAAGCCTTTTTATTTAAAACATCTTATTTCCATKGCTTGTAAATTGATACTATAATAAATCTCATTCAGCGCAAAGAAAGTCAGGCAACTTTTAAGTCCAGGTTTCAAAAAATACTATTAGATCTAAACATTATGTATTACTTTGGTTCAGTATTTATTTTATTCTTAGCCAAACCATGCTCCAGCAGATGCAGGCTGAACAGAGGAAGAGCAAAGCCAATGTCCTGCAGTATTACTGAGGGGAGCATGAGAGAATTCCTCAGCAGGAAGGATAAACTAAATAATTTCAAGGATTATTTCTATACCAAAAATGCTCTTTCACACTGGTGCCACATTCTCTTTGACCCTTTTTCTWATATGGGATTGGGCCCTTGTGTCTTTTTACTCCATCCCTCTTTGCTGACCTCCATTTTCTTCCCAAGCAATTTGGTCAAACTCTGATTCATTTACCTCCTCTACAAGTCTCTTCACATGCAACTTGTGAACCTTTTCTATTTTTAGATACTTTTCTTCTCCCCAGCATGTCCTGCTATTACAGCCTGATATCAGAGTCATTTCAGGAGCCTGGGATTGTCCTTGAAGTGCACTAAAATCCACCTACTGCACTTGGATATTCAAAGGCTCAATATTAAAGCATGAGTGATTTTCTTGACTGGTGGTAAAATCTTTACTCAAAAGATGAAARTAGCCTCTGGTACTAATGATCATTTCTGGAAAACTGCTTCACCAGAAAATATTACAGTGTCACTGTAGTATCTGGACTGTAGCATATATTTAAGAAGTAGTTTGCCTAGAAAACACAAACTCTTACAGTGCAGAGGCCATCCAAGCAAGCATGAGTGCAAAAGACTAAGCCTATCAAACAGCAGAAAATAAGCTCCAAGGAATGCTAGAAAAGAGCATGTTTCTCTAAATGAACTTCAAGTTGAGAAGCAAAAAGGGCAACAGGAATGCAGAAAAGCACAGACCCTAGAAAGTGAAACTGTAAAAAGCAAATATTGTTAAGATTTTCAAAAAAGACTATTAGTTTTAGGCTTACAGGCAGTTTACCTACACCTTAGCCACCCTTCAAATTCAGAATATCAAACCACTATTTTCTACTGTGCAGTAACAGAATGAGCAGGAATTACCATTATTTCCTCTGATAAATGCATCCCCATACTTGTTCTTTAACTGTCCATTTACATATTCTTCAGTCTGYTCCAGAGCTATGTTCATATATCCATCCAGGCAAGCCAGGACACCTGAAAAACAGTGTCAGTTTAAGAGAATCAGCTTGAACTTACATTAAAATGAACAAAAATGCACTGTGTWTTCCCACAAAGTATGGGAAAAAAAACAACTCTGTATCTTCATAAGAAACGAAAACCCCAAGCTTGGCCAGATGTGCTCTTCAAAGAAGTCAGCTGGGAGAGAGGAATCCCAGGCACTCTGCTAGCAATGTTATCAGCTGGTGTAAGAGTTGTGGGAATAAAATAGAAGTTATTAAGGAACTATTTCAAAGGACAGGCAATTTCCACTCTGAAAGTTTAAGTTGTTTCTTCTCACTTGGGCTTTAAGTACACACAGAAAAAGAACTTGTGACATTCAAGTGTAACTRGATAACCTGAGGACAAAGCCATGTAAACTGAATTATCACCAGATCTTGTGAAGGATATAGCTGAAAAATAACCCTTGTAATACAGGACAGCACACACACTTCTTCATAYTTTATCTTCATGCTTACAGACCTAGAAGAACACTACAAGTCTCTATTTTGATGTCAACAAAATTCTGCAGATTTTTCAACAGACTAAAGGCTTTTGAGCAGCACTGAAGTCTTCCCACAAAAATAAAATTGCACTATTTAGAATTAAAGAAAAGCATCACTGCCATTTGTAGTGTTAGGTTATCTTTTGCTCATTTTAGTAGCACATAAAACAACTTCTAAAAAGCTATTATTATCTCCCTCTTTCGTGTGGATTTTCCCGACTTCATCATTGCACAAACAGTACTACCTAAATATTTTTTTCCTCTGTTTAAAAACCACCTAGCTATTTACCTAGCAGTAAAATTGGAAATATAGYATATTGGCTGTACTTGAGGTGAGGGAGAAAATTCAGGACACATTCTCGTTTTTCAGCAGTGTTACTGTAGTATGTTCCATTTAATAAAKAGGAATTCAAGTTCTTCTACCAACTTGTCATGGCTTAAAGATTATTATTTCCCTGTTTTTCTCTGTTTCCACATAGGAAAAACTGCTCACAAAGTGCCACTAAATGCATCAAAAACCCAAGCTAAACAAAATTCAGGAGTCTTTTCCACACAACAGGAAAAAAAAAAAAAAAGTTGGTCCAAAATTAAAATTGGACTATGTTGATTTACCTGAGCTACTCAGTAGGCCATAAATGCAGTATTTTCAAACTTTTTTCTCTCAATTTCATTCATGGTTTCATTCTATTCCTCCTTTTCTTTGTGTTTACTCTTACACTACTAATGGCATCAAATATTATCACTGCCCATCCTGGCTAGCAATTTATCTGTATGTAGAGACGTTTTAATGTACATATCCTTATTTACACACAGAAACCATGCATTAATGTATCCCTGATTATTTCCCAGGGTTTCCTGCCTTGGGTGTTTGCAGCACTTGGCAATGATTCAAGACATTTCACAGTTACACATCAACACTTGCATGAGACCACACTGATGCCTGTGGGAGCCTCAGAGGTGGAGGCAACAAAAAAATCAGCAACACAGCCTGGGGGAGAATCTGGACAGATCTGCAAGAGCCTGAAATGCTTTTTGTAAATGTTTGGCTTTTACAACTGGTGGCCATAGTTTTACAGAAAACAAAGTGCGTGTTTTTCAAATGAAAACACTACACAGATTTTTCAGTCACAAGATCAAGTCAAAGGGGAAGGAAGGAGTGCACAGGGAAATAAGGAGGGGAAGAGGGGAAAAATCCATTTTTTCAAATAAGGGTGTTCAAATTTGACAAACAAGGRTGTTCAAGGAACTCTGGTTCAATTCCTGTTGTGTCTGACTGTAGGCACATTAAACTAGTTTTGCTGAGGGAAAAGTTGAGTAGTTCATCTACAGCATTTACAAATGGATCTTACTAAGGGGAAGGTAGCAATGTCTCAAAGAAAATAGGAAGTGCAGCAAAAAAAACAAATCTGGTTTGGCCTTGCCTTGTGAGTACCTTCACACATAGTTCAGGTAAAGGATGACTTGCTTCAGTTGACTTCATTGAGCTCTCTCTACATTCYCCTGCAGTGAAGAACTTACAAAGAGAGTGAACTTTTTAAGCCCCCAACCCCACCTGAAGTGCTCAGACAATGTGGTTCTCAAAGAAATGAGAGACTGCAAATTTTGTCAGCTGAGCAACACTGAATAGAAACAGGAAGGGATAAGGCACTGCTTGCTCTGTCAGTGAACAATAACAATTTAAAACTGTCATAACACAAAGATTCCTTGTCACAGCACAAACAAGTCTYCTCTCACAAGTGTCAAGCTAAGCCAATTGAAGTAAACCTCTCTGAAGCAGTGATCTGTAGCATAATGTCTAAGTTATTATAGAATGCAATCTTTTAACTGAGCACAATGGGAAATACATGATTAGTTTTAATTAAGTTAGGATACTACTAAAAAATTGGACAGGTCAATAGTATTATCTAAATGGCAGCAGAGCCATGACATTTCATTACACAGAGAAGTTTAATTCGTTGCTTAAAAACATCTGTAATCCTACATAAAGTGCACAAAGGTATACAGATAGGCTGAAGAAATCAGAAATAAAACTGATGGGCTGTWTTAAAATGAAATTGGCAAAGCTACACTAAACTTTCTCCTTTATCTCTGTAAGCCTTGATCTAACATAGGTCTAAGCAGYTGTCTAACCAAGAATGTCAATAGCTCTTTCATCCCTTGTGTAAGAATTCTATTATGACTGACAGCACAGTCTACTCTGAAGCTTTTCTGGACCAGGATCTATACTAGGAAAGGGAGAGCAGAAGATGAAGAAAAGCCTAGTTCTAACAAGGGTTGCTTAAAAGGGGGCAGCCTGCCCATTTCAGGAGTTGTAATTCCAGAATATCTTCCCAAGTATCGGTTTAGAAACTCAGAATCATCCAGTTTAATAAACTGTGACTAAGAAAACTGATGGTTTAGATCAGTAATTTTAATCTCTAAATGCACTGTTAACTCCTTTTTTATCACTTTCTCTGGAACAGATTTTCTATTTTTACTGTTACCATTCTGAGCTCTGTATTCACATACTCCATGATTCTGGTTCATGCTRTTTTGCTTTTCAAAATCAATGCATCTATTCCAGGCTCCTCAATGAATTACTTTACTCACTGTGAGAGACAGATGGAGAACTTACCTCGATAATCAACTCCAGAATTTAATTTTACAACAACTGGCCTTCCAATGATTTGTTTTAGGAAGTCACTGGGGGTTTGCTTCCGTAGACTCATCTTGATCTTCTCTGGTAAGCTGAGAAGAGAAAACATTAGGATAAGAGACACATTTCCACATGGTTTTAAATACTCTATACAGACAGGCAGACCCCAAATTCTTAATATTTTCSGTAGGAGAAAATACGGAAGGAAATGAAAGCAAAACCTAGGAGCTGAGGTGGGAAGACAGAGCTTCTATAGCCATTGCATTAAACTTTCCCTCTGGCAATTTTATTACTCCTGAAAGTATTACTAAGAGTCCTTGTTTGCCACACTATGCATCTTTYAAACTTCAACAGCACCGAAGGCCTCATCATCCCTARCATTTTTTGRTAAAGTGTTTTTAGAGGGCTAAGCYGTAAATAGGTGTTTCATGTCTTCARRGGYGGAGGGACCAGTCGATCCATGCTCYATACACGGAAGTCTGTGCAGAAATAGGAACAGTTTTCATCTCAGCTCACACATACAAGCAGAGTGTAAATTTAAAAGCATGCCTACAGATGATAAAGAGCACTGAGTTAAGGCTCGTGATTGAATTACAGAGAAAAGACACTGTGATTTAAACACGCAGCACACGCACCCAATTCGGTGCAAGACCCCCCTCAGTCAGTATTCGCTTGACTTCTGCTCTAACATCGCTTTGTTTTGCATTTTAAGTCAATGGCAGGAAACACCGGCAAGGTGCCAAGTCCGTGTCGCTGCTTCCAGGGGCAAATCCCAAAGGGCTATTCCAGCCATGAACGCAGGGATCGTCAGTGATTCCCTCTCAACACCCACTGCCACCAGCGATGCTGGCGCCTARGGCTGTGTCACTCTCCCACACCACACACGCGTTTGGAGCCGCTCCTCCCGTGCGGAACCCTCCGGGAGCAGGGAACCTGGGGGAGGTCCGGGCCGGAACCGCGGTTCCATGACAAACCATGCCGGGGGGCACCCGCACGGCCCCGGGCCGGCCCCGCACTCACCTCCCGGCGCTTCCCGGCGCTTCCCGGCGCTTCCCGGCGCTTCCCGGCGCTCCCCGCCCGCCAAGGCCCCGCCCCGCTACGGCGGCCGGGAGGGACAGCCCGCGCAAGACGCGCAGCGCGGGGCGGGGCTGAGGGGAGCGCGGGGCTCTGGGGAGTCTCGGCTGAGGCGGTGCTGACGGGGGCTCCTGGTGGGTGTGCCCCGTCCCCTCACGGAAATGTGGGGTGTTATATGTCTTGCTGAGAGTTCCACACAAAATAACGCCCCGTCGGTTTCTTACGGAGAGAAATCATACGGGAAAATGATGCCTCGTCGGAAAAAWAACCACCCCAGAGGATCAGTTAGGTTGGGAAAGACCTCAGAGACCGAATCCAACCTGTTACCCAACACCACCCGGTTAACCAGGCCATGGCACTGAGTGCCRTGTCCMAGCTTTCCATAAACACCTCCAGYGATRGTRACTTCACCACCTCCCTGGGCAGCCCTTTCCAATGTATAATCACCCTCTCTGTGWAGGAATTCTTCCTAAGTCCAGTAAGATTCAGTACATAATTATATCCTACTCGATGAGATCCTGTTAATTCCCAAATGATCTTGCTCTTATTGGAAGCAATGGATACCTCTCAGGTGTTCTGCGCAGGACCACACAGGAAAGWGCTGAAGGTGCTGCTCCATTTCACAGAGGAATCAGTGAACATAGAAACATACGAGTTTTTGTTTTTTTGGTTTTTTTTTATAAGTCACCTGGGAATAACTTGGTACAAGAAGAAAGTGAGCTCACCTTCTACTTCCTCCTATCATCTCACTTGTTTTTCTACCTTTCCCCAGCTATCTCCTCATGTT